TTTCCTAAATGTTTCATTCTAAATTATAACTGCATGTCTCACAGATATATAGGAAGCCAGTATGTTATTAGGGCACAACAAAATAGCAATTTTATAATATACAATAGGCTAGAAACATGCAAAAAATATAAAAAAATAAAATAAAAAAGGGAAAAAATCATTGCCAGAGGATTTTTGGTAAGAAATATGCAGGCATTAGAGGGATGTTAATTTTATGTACACATCAACATTGTATATGTTGTCTGTATTCATTTTAACACAATCATTTGGTAAAAATCAAGTGTTCCTTCTGAAACCTTAAAATATGCCATGATTAGTTAATTAATTAATTGTAATTTTCCTATCCATCAGATGCTTTTCAGCAGCACTACACAGACCGTGGGCTACTGTACATTGCAGAAAGGAGTTAGAACACTTATATTACCTCTGCATAAGTGGGACTAACTATATCCTTTTTCTCTACCTGGTGAGGGCCATTGCAGCAGAAAAATGTGCAAATGTATTTTCAATTTCGGTTTAGAATTTTGCACAGACATTAGGCAACATTAGGCAATGAGCATGCAGCCAATATTGTGCTGAATAAAATAAGATACTATACATTAAATGCAAACAAACTTTAGCAAGTACGTGGAAATTGTTTCAGTTAGCATTATGGTCACGTTCTAGTCACTGTGACAGAACACTCTGTCACTTGTTTTTTTTTCTTCCAGCTCAACAGACATGGTGTCTTCTCCTTTTGGTTTTCCGTACCACCTGTTCACTTCCGAAATGGAGATTTGTGTTCCCCTTTTTATACCGCCGAAGCTCAGACCAACCCCTGGCTCATCAACTTCAAAAGAAGTTGTTAACTCAAGTGCTCTCTCTGGGAGGCCGCCATTTGTTTGACTGAACCCACGTGCTTTATGGAATTGTGACCATTTTGTCTGCCAAACACTGGCAGCGGTACTTTGCTGGGGGTCTCTGTATACATTCCTTGTGCCTTACCTGAATTAATCAGATCTACTTCCAACATTAAGTTTTGACTAATGTATGGGGGAAAAGCTATACCAGCTGTAACAGCTACCCCAGTTGGTGAGAGGGTATCAGCCCTTGGAGACGTCCTTTTTCCTGGCAAGCTGCTGTTGTAATGGAGTTACTTATTCCCATTCACTGGATCCAAGTAGAGAGCACGGCAGGGCTCTTAAAAGAGCTAGGTGATTAAGCTGCAGATTCCCTTCCAAGAACGAGACAAGGCTATGTTTTGAAGGGTCAAGAAGAACTGTATTTTAATGGCAGGTACTCTTCTTTTATGCGATGCTTCCCATGCAAGGGAGCCACCCACATAATTATTACAGTAACCAATACAACACAAGGTACAACTCACACATCTCCTCCTCTTAGATAAGCGTTTAACATAGTTAACAAGCACACATTTTCCCCCAAGTTTTGGATGTACCCCAAATATCTGGGGTACATTCATAAATCCGGTATCCCCTGATAGCCCTAATCTGGGGGAGCAACATATTTAAAAATCACCCAGATCGGGTCAGGGGTTCGGGAGTTACGAACTTTAAAGTTTTGACCGACCGCACAGGCACAATAGCCGAAAACAGTTCCATAAGTTTTGGCCTTGCGGTCGGTCTCCGTTCGTGTATAAAAGTCCCGAAATGTTTTGGCACAAATTTATGGCAGTCTGGAGGTATCAGCGGTGTTTGCCCAGTTGAGTGTCCGATTTCAGTTCCAGACACTCGACGGCAAAACACCGCTGTTCAGGAGTTTAAGATGGCCGCTGCCAAGTGTAAAACTCCCGAAATGGCGAACGAACGGTCTTTGTATTTATGTGCAGGGTAAAGTGAGAAAAGGCAAGAAAATGGTGGATGTTCCCAGGCACATTGTAGGGACTTGTTACATGGCTCCCCTTTGTGGAACACCCCGGCAGATCCGGCTTGATCCTTTTCGGGTCAACTTGGGGATGTCCGGCCGGTTGCTAGAGCAGAAGTTCGGTTTGCCTGGACAGTCCATCCGCGTTCCTGTTGAACTTGCCAGGCCGGTACTGGATGGAAAAGTTATATGGTTGCAGGGCTAAGCTCCATCTCAGTAAGCGGCCATTATCTCCAGCCACTCTATTCAAGCAGACAAGGGGGTTATGGTCAGTAATGAGTGTGAATTCCTGACCATACAAATATGGGGTAAGTTTCTTTAAAGGGCTAAACACGCCTTCTCTACTGCCGCGTAGCTCACTTCCCTGGGTAACAATTTTCTACTCAGGTATGCGACAGGGTGTTCTCCTCCGTCTTCCCCGATCTGGCTTAAAACTGCCCCCAGTCCGTACATGGACGCATCTGTATGGACGACAAATCTTTTGTTAGGGACGGGGGCAGATAGAACAGGAGCGTTGATCAAGGCTTTCTTTAAGGCTTGGAAGGCTTCTTCACAGGAGGGAGACCACAGGACTATTCTAGGCAAGTTCTTTTTAGTTAAGTCGGTCAGGGGCTTAGCGATGGTGCTATAGTCAGGGAGAATTTCCTGTAATACCCAGCTGTCCCTAGGTCTTGGTGTGGGTGTGGGCCAGTTGGCCACGGCCTCGACCTTAGCTGGCTCGGGACACTGTTTTCCACACCCTACCCGGTGTCCCAAGTACTGGACTTGGCCATGCCAAAGTGGCACTTTTCCGGCTTCAGAGTTAGGCCTGCGGCCAGAATCTGGTCCAGTACGGCTTCTACATGTTTCAAATGCTCTCCCCAGGTCTCGCTATAGATCGCAATGTCATCCGGGTACGCACAAGCGAAATCCTTGAAGCCATCAAGGAGCCTGTTCACCAACGTTGGAACGTGGCTGGGGCATTCTTCATCCCGAATGGCATGACCCTAAACTGGTACAGGCCAAACGGGGTGATGAATGGTGACTTGGGGATAGCCTCCTTGGCCAGGGGAATCTGCTAGTATCCTTTGCACAAATCAATAGTGGTCAGATATCGCCCTCTGGCAATGCGATCTAATAGTTCGTCCACTCAGGGCATCGGGTAAGCATCAGTCACTGTACAGTCATTGAGGCGTCTATAGTCAACACAGAACCGGGTGGTTCCGTCTTCTTGGGAACTAAAACGACTGGCGAGGCCCAGGGACTGTCTGATGGCTCTATGACTCCTAGCCTTAGCATCTCCTGTATCTCTTTTCTCATTTCCTCCTTAACTCCCTCAGGGATTCGGTAGGGGGTTTGTCTAAGGGGTGTCTGTCCCGGAGTCTCTACGTAGTGGGTCGCTAGCGTGGTGTACCCTGGTTCTTGGGAGAACGTTAATCCCTTTTAGCAGCTGTCTGATCTGACCTTTTTCCGCAGATCTGGAATAGGCAGACTGTCGGGGTCCTCTGTAGCAGGGATACTGATGGCGGAAATATCCTCTGGCCTGTCTTGATATTCCTTCAAGAGATTAACATGGAAGGATTTCTGAATCCTTTCATCCTTGTTGCTGGCAATCACATAGGTAGTGTCACAGACTTGCACCACCACCTTGTAAGGGCCCTGCGAAGAGGTCTGAAGCTTATTCCCTTTAACTGGTCTAAGCACCAGGACCTTCAGTCCCACCTGGAATGATCTCTGTCGGGCGCCCTGATCGTACCATCGTTTTTGTCGACCCTGGGCCGCATGGAGATGGTCTTGTGCCATCCGAGCTAGCTGCTCCATGCGGTCCCGCATCTCCAGAATGTATGGCACAATGGGGGCACCCTCATGTTCCATCTCTCCCTCCCAGTGCTACCGGATAAGGTCGAGGGGGCCTCGAACTCTTCTTCCATAGAGCAGCTCAAAAGGGGAGAACCCAGTTGACTCCTGGGGCACCTCTCGATATGCAAACAAGAGGTGCGGCAGGAATTGCTCCCAGTCTCTGTACTCAGCTGTAAAGGTCCGGAGTAACTGTTTTAGGGTACCATTAAAGCGCTCACAGTGACCGTTAGTCTGGGGGTGGTAAGCTGAGCTGAGAAGGGTTTTAATACCGCAGACCTTCCATAACTGTTGGGTTAGGTCAGCGATAAACTCTGTCCCTCTGTCAGACAATATTTCTTATGGGAATCACACTCTGGTGAATATCCCGACCAGGGCACTGGTGACAGTGTCAGCCTGTATATACGTCAGAGCGACGGCCTCGGGATAACGGGTCACGTAATCCACCACAGTAAGAATGTATTTCTTACATGATGGACTGGGGTTTGGTAGGGGCCCCACTAGATCGACTGCCACCCTGCTAAACAGTTCCTCGATCACGGGCATGGATGACAGTCGAGCTTTAGGGTGGTCCCCTCTTTTTCCTACTCGCTGGCAGACATCACACGTGCTGCATTAACGCCACACATCCTTCGAGATCCCCGGCCAAAAGAAGGTCTGGGTGATCCTGAAGTTGTGCGGTTACCACCCAGGTGTCCTGCCAAGGGAATATCATGGACGATTCAGAAAAGTTCCAACTGGTACTTTCTGGGTACCACTAGTTGGTGCTTCTGTGAAGGGGCACAGCCTCTCTTCCTACCTTCCGTTAATCTGTACAACCTGTCGTTATCACATATAAAACGTTCCCGCTCATCCCCCCCACTGTCGGCTATTTCCCGGTACTTTTGGAGGGTTGGGTCCTCTCGGGTTTCCCTCCCAAACTCTTCTGGGGTATCCCAAGCTAGGGGTTTCTCTAATGTATTGGGGTTATGGGCTGGTTCATTGCTTACCTGGGTCTCCCGTCCTGGTGTAGGGTCATCTGCAGCACGGGTCTGTGATCGAGTGGTCACTGGGCAGTGGTTGTGGGTAAATAGGCAGAAGCCAGAGGGCCAATATCGTTGCCCACGACTTCGGCAGGCAGATTGTCCATGATGCCCACAGTGGTTTTCCCAGACCCAACCCCCCCCAGTCCAGGTGTACCGGGGCAGTAGGAAGGCGAAAATCAGCCCCTCCTGCCACACATACAGCAACGGTGCGATTATTATTATTATTTTATTATTTATATAGCGCCAACAAATTCTGTAGCGCTGTACAATGGGTGGACTAACAGACACATAATCGAGATCAGACCACTGACGTACAGGAACAGAGGGGGTTGAGGGCCCTGCTCGATGAGCTTACATGCTAGAGGGAGTGGGGTATAGTGACACAAAGGGTTAAAGTAGGGGAATTAAATAGTTTGTTACAGAAGGGTTTATTGAGTGCTTGGTAGGTCATTTTTGACAGGTGAAGGAACGGAGTCATGGGGTGGGGGATGAGAAACCTGCTGACAGTTTAATTGATACGCTTTAATAAAGAAGTGAGTTTTCAAAGATTTTTTGAAGGAATGGAGGCTGGGTGAAAGTCTGATTGAGGAGGGAAGGGAGTTCCACAGAATAGGTGCAGCCCTGGAGAAGTCTTGAAGGCGAGCATCAGAGGTGGGGATCCGGGCAGAGGATAGGAGTAGGTCTTGGGCTGAGCGCAGGGGTCTCGTCGGGACATACTTGTGTATGAGGGAAGATAGGTATGTTGGAGCAGCATTATGTAGGGATTTGTAAGCAAGCGCCAGAATTTTGAATTGGGCCCTATATCTAACTGGAAGCCAATGCAGGGACTGACAGAGCGTGGAGGCGTGGGAGGTGCGACCGGACAGGAAAATAAGCCTCGCAGCCGTATTCATTATAGATTGCAGCGGTGCAAGCTGGGAACATGTAAGACCGGTGAGAAGGGGATTGCAATAGTCAAGGCGAGAGAGAACAACAGCATGAACCAGTACCTTAGCCGCGTCCGGCGTTAGATATGGGCGGATGCGCGCTATGTTCTTGAGTTGGAAGCGACAGGATTTGGCTATCGATTGAACATGGGGAATAAAAGAGAGATCAGAATCAAAAAGAACTCCTAGGCAGCGAACCTGGGAGGTAGAGGTGATAGTAGCGCCGTTGACTTGGATGGCGACAGACACAGGAGTAGCAGCACTTGAGGGAGGAAAAACTAGAAGTTCTGTTTTGGACAGCCATCCAGTTGGAAATAGCAGAGAGGCAGTTAGAAACACGAGTCAAGGTGGGCGGAGAGAGATCAGGGGAGGACAGGTAGATTTGCGTGTCATCTGCATATAAATGGTATTGGACGCCAAAAGAGCTGATGAGTTTACCAAGGGAGGCAGAATAGATAGAGAACAGTAGGGGGCCGAGGACAGAACCTTGGGGGACGCCGACTGGGAGGGGTTGGGGAGAAGAGGCAGAGCCAGAGAAAGAAACACTGAAGGAGCGCTGGGAGAGGTAGGAGGAGCACCAGGAGAGAGCAGAATCCCGTAGACCAAAGTTACGGAGAATGTGAAGAAGCTGTTGATGATCAACAGTGTCAAAGGCGGCAGAAAGATCAAGGAGGATTAGGATAGAGTATTGGCCGCGAGAGATTTAGCAGCAATTAAATCGTTGGATACTTTGGTCACAGCAGTTTCGACAGAGTGACCAGCGCAGGAATCCAGACTGAAGGGGGTCAAGCAGAGAGTTGGATTCAAGAAAGTCTGTCAATCTGGCGTAGACAACTCTCTCGAGGATCTTGGAGGCAAATGGCAGTAGCAAGATAGGGCGGTAGTTGGATGGGGAGTTGGGATCGAGGTTGGGCTTTTTCAGAATTGGGGTTACGGTTGCATGTTTGAAGGCAGAGGGAAATGTGCCAGAGGAAAGGGAGAGATTGAAAATGTTAGCGAGAGGAAGAGCAAGAGAGGGAGACAAAGTGCGGATGAGATGCGAGGGAATAGGATCGAGGGAGCAGGTGGTGGGGCGGGAGGACAGGAGCAGAGCAGAAACCTCTTGTGCTGTAGCAGGTGCAAATGAGCTTAGGATGACAGGGGGAGTGGGGTTGGGTGATGTATTGATACTGGTTGGAGAAAGATTAGAGATCTCTTTCCTGATTGTAGAGATCTTCTCAGTGAAATGAGATGCAAAGTTTGTGGCGGACAAGGTGGTGGAAGGAGGGGGAGTCACAGGGCGAAGAAGTGCATCAAAAGTGTGAAACAGGTGTTTGGGTTGGTGGGACAGTGTGCTTATGAGGGTGTTGAAGTAGCTTACTTTTGCAGAGGAAAGAGCCATGCTGTAGGAGCGCAGCATAAATTTATAGTGGACAAAGTCAGATGCAAAGTGAGACTTTCTCCAGCAGCGTTCAGCAGTTCTGGAACATTTTTGGAGGTAACGGGTCAGCTTGGTGTGCCAGGGTTGTAGTTGGGGGCGCTTGCTGCGTTTAACTGTAGGAGGTGCCATGATGTCAAGTTGAGAGGAGAGAGTGGAGTTGTAGAGTGAGGTTGCAGAGTTAGGGCAGTTGTGATTTGAGATGGGTAAAAGGAGTGTTTGGAGTTTAGTGGAGAAGTGCTGGAGATCGAGAGAGTTGAGGTTTCTGCGAGGTTGGAGAGTGGACGGTGGTGAGATTTTGGTATGGGGTATGCAGATGTTAAATGTTAGCAGATGGTGGTCAGACAAAGGAAATGGGGAAGTGGCGAGATCAGAGGTAGTACAGAGATTGGTGAAGATGAGGTCAAGAGTGTTTCCTGCAGTGTGAGTTGCTGAGGAAGAAATCTGTGTGAGTCCAAAGGAGGAGGTTACAGAGGGCAGACGAGAGGCATCAGGGCAATTGAGCTTGTTGATAGGGATACTGAAGTCCCCAAGTATGAGAGAGGGAGTGCTAGAGGAAAGAAAGTGGGGTAACCAGGAGGAAAAGTGTTCAATGAATAGTTTAGGGTGACCGGGGGGGCGATAGATGATGGCAATTCTTAAAGGAGTGGGCTTAAAAAGGCGTACAGTGTGAACTTCAAAGGAAGTAAAGGATAGGGCAGGGGCAGGAGGATAGGTTGAAAGGTACATTGAGGGGAGAGAAGGATGCCTACACCACCTCCTTTACAGTCAAGTCTAGGAGTATGGGAGAACTGTAGACGAAACATAAAGAAGCAGGAGTAGCGGTATCAGATGGAGATAGCCAGGTCTCAGTGAGTGCCAGTATTGTGAGAGAGTTAGAGATGAGGAGGTCATGTATTGCTGTAGATTTGATATTACTACAAATGGAGCGAGCATTCCAGAGTGCACACTGAATTTTGTTAGAGGAGGATAGACTGCAGGGTATTTGGAGGAGGTTTGCATGGTTTCTGGTTATTTTAGTGTGAGCAGATGAGGTGAGGGGCCCTGGGTTGGGAGAGACGTCACCAGCTGCCAGAAGTAGGAGGAGACATAGAGACAGGAGGTGTGAGTGGGTTTTATAAGGGCGGCGACTAGGGTGAGATTGGGTTAGAGCAGGAGAGAGAGAATAGAGAAATGAGTGCAGGGCTTGAGATGAGAGAAGGGGGGAGTGTAGCAGAGAGGGATTAATGTAAATGTTAGTGTTTTGTTGAGGGAAGTGGGTGGAAGGGGATATTTTGATCTTTAGGGAGATGAGAGAGAAGGAGAGGAGGAGAATATAGAGCATTGCTCTGATAGGTAGGTAATTAGAGGGAAGGAGAATGAGCATAAGGGAGGAGAAGGAGTGAGTGTTAGGGGTTAAGAAGGTGGATTGTGCTCATTATGGGTAGTGTTTGCAGTTGCTATTTGGAATTAACTAAAGTTGTGTGTGGGATTCTATCTATAAATGCAGTAAGGAACTTGGGGTGGGGTGGGCGGGAATCTGAGCACTGTTCAGGTTTGCTAGAAGTGGTCTTTTAAAACTCAGACTGTGGAAGACAGAGATGATAGGGTCAAAACAGGACTGCAATAAAAGCTATGGAATGGAGATGCACAGAGGAGGTGAGGGTTGGTCAAGCAAGACATTCGGGTGGGTATCAATAAAATAAGGGGGGGGAGAAGAAATAACAGAGAAAATCTTTAGAGATAAGCAGGATGTTGAATAACATTTAAGTTAACAAAACCAATGTTGAGAAGGGCAGGGAGCAACTAGCTTTAGCATGCAGGACAAGACAAACTGCAGAATATATGTATGTATGAGAAAACACACACACACATATAAATATATATATATATATATATTTATATATATATATATACATATACATACACACACACACACACACATATACATATATATATATATACACACACACACACACACTAAAGAGCAAGCACGTCCAGTTAAGATACAATGACAAAGAAATGGTGGTTAGAGATATATAGTTTAAAAATATGCAAGGGGTTCAAATTCAATACAATTATAGTGTCCAGTATTAAGGGTAGATAGTTTCCTCCATAGTCTACCTTGCAGAAACTCAGACATGCATAAGGCCTTTTCCTTCCAGCTGTAGGTGATCTGAGCACTGTTCAGGTTTGCTAGAAGTGGTCTTTTAAAACTCAGACTTGCAGAAACTCAGACATGCATAAGGCCTTTTCCTTCCAGCTGTAGGTGATCTGAGCACTGTTCAGGTTTGCTAGAAGTGGTCTTTTAAAACTCAGACTTGCAGAAACTCAGACATGATAAGGCCTTTTCCTTCCAGCTGTAGGTGATCTGAGCACTGTTCAGGTTTGCTAGAAGTGGTCTTTTAAAACTCAGACTTGCAGAAACTCAGACATGCATAAGGCCTTTTCCTTCCAGCTGTAGGTGATCTGAGCACTGTTCAGGTTTGCTAGAAGTGGTCTTTTAAAACTCAGACTTGCAGAAACTCAGACATGCATAAGGCCTTTTCCTTCCAGCTGTAGGTGATCTGAGCACTGTTCAGGTTTGCTAGAAGTGGTCTTTTAAAACTCAGACTTACAGAAACTCAGACATGCATAAGGCCTTTTCCTTCCAGCTGTAGGTGATCTGAGCACTGTTCAGGTTTGCTAGAAGTGGTCTTTTATGCCTATAGAGCAGGGGTGGGCAATCTTCAGCCCTCCAGATGTTTTGGACTACATCTCCTATAATGCTCTTAGGGCCGTAATGCATGCAAAGCATCAAGGGAGATGTAGTCCATAACATCTGGAGGGCCGAAGATTGCTCACCCCTGCTATAGAGCATTCCTTCTTTAACTGGTATTTAGATTTGGAGCAATGACACAGAGGAGGTGAACTGCAGCCTTACACCATTCTTCTGTATGTTGAAATTGGTGGTTAGATAGTGGAGGTTCATTGGGATATCTCTTGACACAGTACTGTAAAAGTGAGACAGAGAGCAAGAATTTCAGGGCCTTTACTAGCTCAGCACTGTGTAGGTTTGCAAATAGGCAGGTAGCCTTTAATCAGAAAATTATCCAGTACTTTATTGGTCCTGGAGTTGACCAGACTGCAAGACTGAGATGTTTACAAATAATGAATTTATAAAGCAATTTGGCTATCTTTGGTGACAAAGGAGTCACAGGAAACAGAGTATATGTCTCAGGCTACAGATCTTTTCAAATGCGGAGTCATGCTACATGGGATATACTTATAGAGGTTGCAAGGATATATGATGTTACACCTTGGAACTCCAGCATCCTCCATTTATTATACTATTCATATATTCTATATATTCTATTCCAACTCAGTAGGATTGTCCACACTGAGATATATACATTTCATGTGCAAAACAGGCAATTCTTTTGTTCATGTCCCTGGGCCAAACATTTCCAGTCCTCCCCTGGTTGTAATGAACATATATTCTAATTTTACATTGCATGGGAAAGGTATGAATTCTGGTTGAATGAAATATTTGCTTTCAAAAATTGTTAAACCAAAAATGTCATCCAATCTTGCAAAGGCCAAAACTTGGATTTGATTTTATTTTTTTACTTCAATGACATCTTCTTAATAAAGATGAAAGTAAAGGTGTACACATTTTTTATCTCTTTTCTATTTTTGCCCTTGAACAAAGATTTAGCCTTTTGCAGATAATGTATATAACCGTAACAATATTCATACAGCACTGGGACCAATTAGGTGGATAATAATGTAGAAATATTAGCTTGGTGGACAAGAAAGGTGGATTTAAAACTATATCTTCAAGAGCAAAATACAATTACATATGCATTAAGCCAAAGTCATGATATAGAATCATTGCAAAGAGTAGAAGACTATGCATCAAGATATAGCAGTCTGGATGTTAGGTTGAAGGCAGTTTAGCCAGTTTCTACATTACAGTCAGCGTTGTATGTCTCATTAGTTCTAGTATAATTTCTCATGTCTGCCGTGTCTGCTAACCAAGAAAGTAAATATAATCCTATGGTCCTGTAAATATTGCACTTGGTTTGCATAAAAATGTAAACACAATATTCTTAAAAATGTCAAAAATAGAAGATATTCCCTTGAATCATTAAGCCCCATGTTTATCCCTTTGTGGGTAGAGAAAATTTAGTAGCATGGAAAACAATACACAATGATTAGTAGTTATATAAACCATCACCATATATGTCCTCAATTTCTTAGTCAGTTGGTGCATCCTTAACTCCAAGCCACCCCACCAAGCATTTTACTGTTTAGTGTTCATGAAATAAAGCAGAAAATAAGAGAACAAAAATTGAAAAGGGATACCTAAAAAGTCAATAAAAAGAGTGCCAAAAGAATAGGCAGAGAGCTTAGATTGGGGGATTATTGTCTGGATTAATTTAAGCAGCCAAAGCAATGGTTCCATAGGGTACCAAGTTTCATGGAAATAGAGAATAGAGAGAATGGCTGGCAACTTATCTGTCTGACATGTTATCTTGTAGCTTATGAATGATCAGAGATTTGGGAGGTTCGGGTGACATCTTTCCATCAAAAAGCTAAAGCTCTTTCGGTTGTTCAAGAAATTTTGGCTCAAAGTCTATTGGTTTCTGAAAGATTTTACTAGCTAAAGTACTGATAGGTGACCAACATGGCTTTAACCGTGGGCATAGATATTACATAAGGTAGAACATTCCTCTACATCCACAATCCAACCAAGAATGGTCAGTAGGAGAAACCTCCATCCTAAAAAACTTAACTGAAAAGCATCTCATAGCACTGGAAGTAGACACCAAAAACACTCTACTTATTTAAACAAGATACAGTGGATTTGTACCTCAAGACCTCCAGGGACCAAAATTAAAGAAGGGAAAATGGGTAAAGGTGAAGGTTCAGTATTGATGGAACTATTCCATTTAAACCAACTGGTTAGGAAATTGACCTTGACAAATTCTCCACAACTGGGTTATATATTTAAATATATCTATTGTAAATAGCATTTGTTTTCTATGATTTATTTTGAGGGGGAGGGCAGAGACAAACTTTATGGATATACGCAAGACAGGCACCTGGAACTAAAACCTTAAGTGTCCTTGCTAGAGAATTGCTAGAAACAAATGAAGAGATGAGTATTGTTAGGCATGTTTGGTACTGAAAGGGTAAATTATTTAAATTAACATAGTGCTAAGAGAAAGTGCACCATTAAGCACTAAGTATATTGATTTTTTTTCCAATAGATTTTATGGGGTAGAACCAAATAATTCACATAGAAGTTTCTATTGATGGCTTTTCAAGGAAAGAGGCTATGGTGTATCGCAAACAAATATATAATGATTTTTATCTACAGTTGATAAAATGTACCTCCCTATGACATACTGAGAAAGAAAGAAAGAAAGAAAGAAAAGAATTACAGTGTTCAAACAAATAAACGTGCCACTTGTAAAATGTTTAATGCAGAATAAAAACCAGAAACTGCAAACAGAGATACCCAAAGTGATACTGAAGAATTTATGTATGCACTATTTAACACAGTAAAGGAGTTTAAGCATGCATGGGATAGGCATAAGGCTATCCTAACTATAAGATAAGGCTAGGGACTAATGAAAGTTTTTAGAAAATTGGGCAGACTAGATGGGCCGAATGGTTCTTATCTGCCGTCACAGTCTATGTTTCTATGTTTCTATGTCTATTGACAGGGGTTTTTTTTTTACAACATGTATGTACACAGAAATTTTGCTTTCTTTGTTTGTTTTTTTTCGACACTTAGGCATGTTTCCAATCGTGTTGCTACTATTTACTGGCCATCCACTACTTATTAACCAACTACCAAATTTGACAAACAGTGACAGGGGGTTACCAGAAGTTGCTACTGAAATCCAACTACTTAGAGATTGACTTACAACTAGTTTCAAACCCTGTCACTACAGTTTAATGGCTGCAATTATCCCTTAATCCGTAACATCAGCCTCTTTCCTGGTACAAAGATATTAACAACTGCTAAATACCTATATATGCTACAGGTAAAATACATTGTAACCATGTGATATTACATTGAAACCATAAAGCACATATGAAAACATATTACATCCTATGACACCTTCCTTGCTGAGAACTGGCTTAACACATCTCCCAAGGTCACATCAATAGTTGATATGGAACCATTATGATGAAAACCATTCCGTTTAAACCAACTGGTTAGGAAATTGACCTCTGCAAATTCTCCAGAACTGGATTGTATTTTTAAATACATCTGTTACCAATAGCATTTGTTTTCTATGATTTTCTGGGGTGAGGACAGAGACAAACTTTATTGATATACATAAGACAGGCACCTAGAA